CCCACTTTGTCCATTCTCGTTTAACTTTGTCACTGACATGTTTTTAGATACAGCATCATCATCTGACTTTCCAGGGGTTAACTTTGTACCACAAGATTCACTTGTTGACGTAGAATGCGCCGATGGCATACTTCTACTTGGTGAAGACGCTGACAAAATGCAGAGTAAGCAACAATGCAAGTATATTCGCGATGAGATTCCTCACTTTAAATGCGAAATGTTACTTCAAGATTGGGTTGCGTCGACACCTGACCTAGTGATAGACAGTGAAGCAGTTGAGAAGGTCGACTGCTACACATTTGTTGGGATTCTCATCAGTGCTGATGGCCTGGTGTGTGACGAAATATCAGCAACGATGCACAAGTCAGCCATTTACCACAACGTAGAAATTCGTACATGAGTACATAAGTTCAGGTTGCCATACCACATTAGCACAGAGACGCAACTGTCAGTTCAAGTCCCATAGTGGTTGAGATAGTAGAAGAAATAACAGTAATGGAGAAGATTAGGGTTCGAAGATGTCATTCACGAAGTACAATTCAGTGAAGTAAATTAAGAGAAAGAAAGATAGAGATGATGAGGAATTCAGAAAGTTAGAATTTCATGGAACACAAAGAGTAAATGCACCTGCATCGTTGCAAACGGTTTTGAGCCATATCATTCAGGGTATCTAACCATCGATTACTATCACCTCGCGGGCCCAAACCAGGTAGTCGACACCTACCAACATGGCTCAGTCCACTTGTCAGTGACTTCATGGATTTCTGCCATGTTTTGGTTTGGCCGCCCCTAACTTTCTTCCAACCTATTCCCACACCACAAAACATAGCTCAACGAGGCAGTCGGTGGTTGGGCATTCGTAACACATGTCCCAACCACCTCAACTGGTGATGTTTCAATACTTCATCGATTGATCTGCCATTCTTACCTAGCACCCGTTTCTTAACAACAGCATTGCTTACTCGGCTGTCCCACGATATACTAGCAATGCTTCTTAAACATCTATGATCGAATACTAGTAACCTACGAACATCTTCTACTCTTAACGGCCATGTTTCACAGCCATATAAGAGAACGGAACGAACTGCAGCGCAGTACACCCGCCCTTTGGTTAGCGAACGGATATCACGCCTACACCATAAGTGACGCAGGTTGGCAAAGGCCATCTATTGACCTGCCACCCTTACCTAGTACCCGTTTCTTAACAACGGCATTGCTTAATCGGCTGTCTCACGATACTCGAGCAATGCTTCGAAGACTTCTATAATCCAATACCAGTAACCTATGAATATCTTTCACTATGACTGGCCATGTTTCTTATCCATATAGTAGAACGGAGCGAACTCTTGCGCATGGCTCGACTGGCTTTTCCAACTTGCGTCATTTATGCCGTAGGCGAGGTATCCATTTTCTAACCAATGGACGAATGTACTGTTCACCAATTCTCTCCGCCCTACTATTTGTGTGAGACACATGGTCGGTAAGAGTAGAAGACTTTCGTAAGGTACTAGTATTCGATCATGAGTATCTTCGAAGCATTGCTCGTATATCCTGGGACAACCGATTAAGCCATGCTGTTAGGAAACGGGAAGTGGGTATGATAGATCAGTAGATGAAGTAGTGAGTGGTCTTTAGTTGAGGTGGTTGGGACATCGGTTGTGTATACCCAGCCGCTGACTGCCTCGACGAGCGCTGTTTTTTGGTAGTGTAGTCCCTCTGTTCTTTGTGTTCTCTCAAATCCTAATATGAATTCCAAATACTGCTAGTACTTCTACTACGTCATATCCTATGGGATTTGAATGGACAATTTCGTTTCTGTTAATGTGGTATGGCAACCTGTAACTTACTGACTGACTCCTGACTTATGTTTTCTTCCTAAATTTATTTTGCTGGGTTATATTCCCCGAATCATATTTGCAATACCTAATCGTTTCGATTACCGCTAATACTGCAACAATCTCGATTAGTATGGGATATGACTTGATAATCCAATCTCTCTTTGCTATTATGTTATGGAGACTTGAGCTCTACGTTATGGCTGACTGGCTGAGTTCTTTATGACCCCGTCATCTAAATGTTAGATTCAAACCATATTTGTGTAACAACGGCAATTGTTTCATCCTTGTGATTCTTGGTGACAAGTAGGTTAATATTCCATTTGCTTCTTTGGAGTCCTAAAACCTGTGCATCTCTAGTTTGATTTATAGGCTTCAATTTGTGTCATGAGTTCTAGAGCACTTTGTTATGTTTGTCACTAGGTACGCTTGAAGCTATTACGGGTTCACGTTAGTCGATAAACGCGAACGAGACAATGAACCAGCGTCCAGGTTGGCTACCCTGATCCGTTGACTGACGAAAAGTCTTGATATAGCGTAGAAAGTATATATTCTACAAACACCCAGCAAGCACATAAATTCAAGCACACAAGTCGCGTTTATTTATACATCATAGAAACGTCCTTGGGACAGTCTTGGCTTTTGCCATCGTGTGTCGCTTACGGCGCAGGCGAGGTATCCGCTTGTTAACCAAAGGACGGGTGTACTGCGCAGCAGTTCGCACTGTCCTATTATACGGATGCGAAACGTAGCCGTTAAGAGTAGAGAACTTTTGTAGGTTACTAGTCTTCGATGATCGATGTCTCTGAAGTATTGCTCGTGTATCATGGGACGACCGAGTAAGCAATGCTATCGTTAGGAAACGAGTTCTAGGTAAGGATGGCAGATCAATAGATGAAGTGGTGAAACTTCATCAGTTGAGGTGGTTGGGACATGTGTTACGAATACCCAACCACCGACTGCCGTGACGAGCTATGTTTTGTGGTGTGGGAGTAGGTTGGAAGAAAGGTAGGGGCGGCCAGACCAAAACATGACAGAAATCCATGAAGTCACTAACAAGTGGACTGAGTCATGTTGGTAGGTGAAGGCTATCTGGTTGGGGTCTTCGAGACGCAAGTCACCAATGGTTAGAGACGTTGATTGGCATGGCTCGGAATCTTTTGCAATGGCGCAGGTGCATTTACTCTTTATGTTCCCTGAAATTCTAGCCTTCTGAATTACTCACCATCTCTATCTTTCATATTTTAGATTTATCTCACTGAATTATACTTCTTGAATAATATCTTCGAACCCTAAACTCCATTGCTGCTAATTATTTTACTATCGCTATCACTCTTGGATTTGAACTGACAGTTTCGTCTTTTTGCTGACGTGGTATGGCAACCTGAACCTATGTACTTATGTACGAAGTTCTGCATTGTATCTGTTTGTCTGTCCTCGTGGCAGTCACAGAAATAGCACTAAAATGCACAGCAGCCAATCACAGCCAAGGGTTTTCCTGGTGGGAACTGAAATCTCAAGGTCACCTGATCAGCCCATGCTCGCAAACGTGAAATCCAAAATAAGGCATTTATCAAGCGAGTTCTGGGGATCTAACGTCCCCAACAACTTGTACTCTATAACTACGAGAAATGCTCATATATTACTTGGTCAAAAATCAACAGAAGGCCTGCTGTTTTACAAATAAGCCCTTAAGGATTAAATCAACTTGAATATTATCGATTAGCATAACCATACATAAAAATAAAGCTAAACATTTACTTTTGATTCAGATGTATTATTTATGAATGTAGTATACTTCGATATATTTGCGTTTTTTATGTTTACCGGTGCGTCGAGTTCTGGTGGTAACGTAAGTGATTAAATCATTTCACGTGTAGTGTTTGATCATCGTTGTATCTGAAGGGTTGCTGACATTCATTGGCGATACCATGTTAGCAATACAGAGGTTTGGTAACGTGTGTTCGGCTACAGCAACCGTAATTCTGTTGATACTATCATCTTGAGATACCGATCTCGGTGGTTTGAAGGTGTACTACGAATTTCGTCGCAGCGAATTCACCAAGTAAACTGTAAGTGGGTTAGGGTTAGGGTACTGGGTAAAGATGGCAAGTCGGTTGATAAAGTAGTAAATCTTCATTAGCTGAGGTGGTTAAGACGTGTGTTGTGTATGCCAACCATCAGTTACCTCGATGGGCGATGCTGTGTGTGTGGTCTTGGACTAGGCTGGAAGAAAGTTAGGGTTCGCCAAACCATAATCTAGCACTAATTCATGAAGTCACTGAAAACAGTTGCACACTATCTGGTTGGTGTTCCCGCAATATCCGTAACCAGTAGCCAGAGACTTTGAATAGCATAGCTCAAGGTCGTTTGCAGTGGCATAAGTCTATCCATTTTTATCTTCCTCCAGATTCTAGGTTTCTTAATCCATCATAATTCTTTATTTTTCCATTGATTTGTATTTTCTCAAATTTTATTTTCTATCACTAGTCGTAATACTGTTACCACTTCCACTATTTTGGGGTTCGCCTTCAAATTTTGACTTCTGTGGTATGGCAACGTACGTACCAAGTTCTACGTCACAACTGACTGACTGCCTATTATTGTTACTGTTATTATTATCAATACCATTTTAAACTAGTTTCCATTTATTTTTATTCTTATTATACTCACTTCCTTTTCTCTCAACGATCTCATTCTTATCGTGTAGCGCATACATATTTTGATACCGTTTTGTAACAATATTTGGGTGCAATTAAATTTTCTTGCTATGACAGGTTAAATAAAATAACATAATCAAGTAGGAAGTTATTTCAGCGAATGAAATACTTTAGTACATTATTAATTCTCTGGTTATTAATCTTATTTTCGGAAAGATCAATTTAGACTGCCAGTTTTATTATTATAAATGGAAACAGAATTACCTATATTGTCACCGACGCGATCGACATCGAACTATGTCCTGATGCGAAATTTTAAATTTACGGCTTTACAAACACTCAGTTTCTTTCGTTTTTTTTAGTTTATTGTGCTCATTGATTTACTTATGATCTACATTAATTAGTCATTAGTCAAAAACTCGGGCTAGTTTAGTTTAAATGATTGAGTAGTTTTGTTCTAATTGTTTTGTACGCACACAGTACTCACTTTTGATTTCTTTTTTAGTCAACATTTGATCACGTCGAAAATTGGCTTCTTGAAATCGGTTCCAATGCTAAAGATCAAATTAGTCGTATTTTAATCGGTAACAAATGTGATTTAAACGATCGACGTGCTGTCAAGTATGAAGATGCTCAAGTATGTAAAACTACACATTTAATCAAGTTGATTAGATAATTTATATTCACAACTGTCAATGCATGCTTAAACCGTGACCAGTTTATCATTTATATGTGCGTTAACATTAGTTAATAAAATTGGCTGATTTATTAGTAGGTTATACACATTATTAGTCAATGCATGATAATAATCACAAGGCTATGTTGTTTCGATTATTTCACAATCGTTTTTTATAAACTTATGTATAAGTATGCAGTTGTAACTCAAACATTTAGCTTTCAACTAATCAGTTTCAGATTCAGTTCTCCCTATCTGTTTGGATTAAACTGCTGCAGTGTAACTTGAGGCTGAATATACAAACCTATTCATGATTATCGAGCTGAGTTGATATTTTTGTTAATTATAAAAATACTCACCATCACTTAGTTAAATGGTCCTGTATTTTATCTAAATTCCAGTGTTACAATTTTTTTGTTTCCAATATACAAATTTTTTAGTGATGGTAATATTGTCTCTAATATTGTATTCCGTTAGATCCCATGTCTTAGAATCCATATTTATCTCTAATCTATTCTACTACCACTTATGCTTTTATTAGTTAGACCACTCTAGCACCTTATTGTGTTGTGATTTGCCCACTTTAACCGATGCGAACATATTTCAGTTTCTACATCTCTTATGATTGACTCAGTGAATTTGAGTTGTGAACAATATCATTCTTTATGGGATGACTTTCATATGTGATTGCTGATTTATATCTCGTTTCACTGGTTATCAATAGTTTAGTTTTATTATCCTTCTGAATAGTAAATTGAGGACTCAGTTTCCGATTATTGAATTCCACTTAATTCACTCTAGATATCCATGTAGTCTTCACTTAAAACGTGTAGACCCATGCCAAAATAGACCTTCAGGGTGTACTGGATTATGCTGTTGATCGTAATTTTACCATCAACAATTTAATCGTTCTTCAAGTCTTAGCCAATTCAGTATATACATCAGACAGGACATTGAGTTTTTGACTGGTCTGGTACACTTTCAGGACTCCCAAGCTGAAGCAAGTAGTTTTCTTAGGGGGCCACATCTCGGGCTTTTGACCCAAAAGTCTAATCAGTAAGGTAGTGGAGCAACAATAGGTCCATATACCATATGTTCCTTTAGAATCCTGGAACCCACGTGCACATTGATTTGGCATGAGTCTTTTCAAAATCCTCTGAGTAGATCATGCATACCCATTAACACGGATTAAGCCTCAGCCATACATTTGCTATTCGTCCTTTGAAGTTTTTAAACGACACCCGCCAAGATGCCTACCACTAGTCAGTAGGACTTTCTTGTTCGTGGCTGTATACACGTGGTCATATTTTGAGAAGAGCGGACTTAACCGTACTAGGGCAATCGAGAACCAATAATTTGTGTAGCACATAAATATTTAGGTGCCTCTGCGCACCAATGTTTGTGTTTAAATAAACAACAGAACACACTTAAGCACCGGTATAAGATTGCAAGCGGTTTGGCGTCAGCTGGGACAAAAGAGCTATCAAATGCTAGTTCCCGCCCTTCGGTGGTTTCCTATCTATTGTAGCTTCACAACGAAAACAGATCTCAGTGTAAACAATCTCCGTAAATCCTCACCTTAAAAATCAAATCGTATCGTTTTAACTGATATGTTTCGTTCTCAACTCCTCCAACCAGTTTTCTGATTAATAAGTGAGTACTTTGGTTATTTGTTTCGTCTGAACATTTGATCATCAGCATTTGCATATATAGATCAACATCTGTAGTTTCTAATTCGACTTGGGCCCTTAGTACATTAGTACACTAACCTTATACAAACTCTACTCGAATATTATTAGTCTAAGGAGATCTTATGGCTAACTGTCATCGGAATTCCTTACTTCAAGTGGTGTCCGTCAGGACTGTCCACTTTCTGTTTAATTTTGTCATAGACCAACTTCTAGATGTAACATTATCTTCGTCTGACTTTTCAGGACTGGACCCTTAACCAGGAGAAACGCTTACTGACCTAGAACATGCCGATGACATAGTTCAATTTGGTGAAGATGCTGACAAAATGTAGAATCTTCTGACTACCCTAAGCAACAATGCAAGCATATTCGGGGTGCGATTCTCCCCCTCGAAATGCAAAATGCTACTTCAAGATTGGGTTGCGACCGTACCTGACCTAGTGATAGGGAGTGAAGCAGTTGAGAGTGTGGACCGCTTCACATATGTTGGGATTCTCATCAGTGCTGATGGCCTGGTGTGTGACGAAATCTCAGCATCGATACAGAAAGCTTGATTGGCTTTAGCCAATTTACGTCACGTATGGTGTGGGCGAGATATCTGTATGCTAACCAAAGGTCGAGTCTACTGCACAGTAGTTCGCTCCGTTCTTCTATATGGATAAGAAACCTGGCCAGTCATAGTGAAAGATATTCATAGTTTACTGGTATTGGATTATAGAAGTCTTCGAAGCATTGCTCGAGTATCGTGAGACAGCCGATTAAGCAATGCTGTTGTTAAGAAACGGGTGCTAGGTAAGGGTGGCAGGTCAATAGATGAAGTAGTGAAACGTCTTCAGTTGAGGTGGTTGGGACATGTGTTACGAATGCCCAACCACCGACTGCCTCGTTGAGCTATGTTTTGTGGTGTGGGAGTAGGTTGGAAGAAAGCTAGGGGCGGCCAAACCAAAACATGGCAGAAATTCATGAAGTCACTGACGAGTGGACTGAGCCATGTTGGTAGGTGTCGACTACCTGGTTTGGGCCCGCGAGGTGATAGTACTCGATGGTTAGATACCCTGAATGATATGGCTCAAAACCGTTTGCAATGGCGCAAGTGCATCCATTCGTTGTGCTCTCTCAAATCCTAATCTTCTGGAATCGTCAGCACCTCTACCTTTGTGTTACATGAAATTCTAACCTTCTAAATTCCTCATCATCTCTATCTTTCACAGTTTAGATTTATCTCACTGAATTATATTTCTTGAATAATATCTTCAAACCCTAGTCTTCTTCATTACCATTAATACCTCTACTATCTCTATCACCATGGGACTTGAACTGACAGTTGCGTCTCTGTGCTAATGTGGTATGGCAACCTGAACTTATGTACTCATGTACGAATTTCTACGTTGTGGTAACTGAGTGACTGACAAATAAATCGTCACGGATCAAATATACTTTGTAACGATGTAGAGATTTGTATATGGTATTTGAGTTATTGTTATTGTCATAGCTTTCATTTTAGCAACTTTCTCGAAATTATTTTCTGATTAGATTATAAGTTTAGAAAATTAGTAACGTAATGAAATTTTAACTACGATAACTACATTTTTGTTTCCAATTTCTTAGGCTTATTCCGAAAAACATAATATGGATTTCCTAGAAACGAGTGCCAAGAATGCCACTAATGTTGAACAAGCCTTCATTAAAATGGCTAACGTAATTCTAAAAAATGAACCACCAGTACAAAATATGTTGTCTTCCACTGTACCTGTTAATAGTACTCAACCTGTTAAAAAAAGTGGAGGTTGCTGTTAAATATTTTTTGACAATCTTAAATCTATCCATCCATAATGGTTTATTCCCATGTGATTGTGCGCTTATCACAAAAACTATTCATCTTTCATATTGTCCTTCCTTCATAACTGAACTTGTGATACTATTTTGTGTCTGATTGTATTTGTATTCAGGTGTTTTGTTGATCCTGTTCCAGTCGAATTTTTTCGGTGTATTTTAGTTTCATTTTAGAAAGAAAACACTATCTTTATCATCTGAGGCTCGATCTATTACCAGCAGCAATATGAGACTGCACTCGTTTTTTTTCCGAAAACTTACATCTTTCAAAAGCTCTTGTTTTCGTTGACAAACAAAAAAATGATCTATGTACCATATCTATTTGTTCGATTTTTCAGCGGCATTAATAAAAGTAATCTTATTTATTTAGTGGGTTTCATTAACTACCTGCGATAAATCTTTTTATTCCTCCTTTTATGTGTTGCGATTTTATCATAATTACAGTGGTTTTATTGTTTAGATGTATGTATTTGGTCATCTTTTTCGGACCAAAAAAGAAATTTAGATTTGAAGATGGTGAATACTTAAACTCTGGTTCATCTCGGCGTACTAACTGGAAGCTGTGGTTCTGAAATGCACCTTGTTTATCTAGACATCGTTAATATTTAAGGTGACTAAATAAATACTCAACCTCTTTTACTTAATCATGAGTGGTGCTCTTAAACAAGAATCTACTCGGAAGGTTTTACATCACGTACTGAAGAAAAAGTGATATTTTGAGGGCGTCAAGCAACACAGAAGGACAGTAGAATGATCTTTTGCTGAGATCTTAATTGTCTAAATAAAGCTAACAATTTTACTGCTTAGAATAATTAGTTATGAACAATAAATGTTCATCTGCCTAATTTTCCACATGTCATATCGACATAGAGAAAAAACACTATATAAAAGCAAAATTTTGGAGATGGTGGTATCACTGACACTGTGAACTATACTGAGAAGGTGCTAAAAGTGGGGTAATGAAATCAGGAGGTAAAATCATATTGGGACTCAAAATTAAAAGTAAGGTGGAAGATAAATTTGCTTGTATTGCCTTTAGTAATTTGATTCATCCAACCGCGGAATTCGATCACAAAGGCTGAATGATGTCACACTGATCAGTTAAGCAGTTCTTGACTCTGCACTAATGTCAGGCATCTACTTGATCACCCATTGACTTCCAGCTTGTTCGTTTACTCCCTTTGGTTTACTTAGTAAATGAATTCGAAATGTCAAGTTGACCTGTTTAACGTTGGTTGATTTACACCCTTCTCATGAGAGTCAAACATATAATGCTCTGAAAAGAGCGTGCTTTGTACTAAAATGACATAACTAGATAAACATTGTGTTGTTGTTTCATAAAAACGTGTTATTGACCATTTAATAGCTGTCGATGTAATGAATGGTTCATTCATTTCAATACTCAAACAACTTTTGAAATTTTCATCCTATAAAATTCTATTTTTTATTTGAATAATTGAACAGAAAAAGATGATATTCATTTATGGTCCAGTGATAAAAGTTATCAGGCATGAGCATTAAAATGCAGTTGAAATTTTAAAATAATAACGTAAATCAGTTAGTTTTTTTGGTGTATGATATGTTTCGTTTCATATACGATTGTTCAGCTTGACCTTTAACTTAACTCGTCTCTTGTACCAACCTTAATAGAAAAATGATAAAACAGAGTTGATTAAACATACTTGTCAAGGCATTTTATATAAAGGTCAATTAATTAAAAGTTCGAATAAACATAAAATACTAATTGTATGTAAAGTAAAAGAAACTAACATAGAATGGAACAAATAAGAAATTATCGCTCTACGCTAGGTCATAAAATAGCTTAGAGGTTACCAGGACAAATTCATGGTTATAGTACTATGTTTCTGTGCACTTAAGGGAGGTTTAAATTTGCAAATAGCCAAGGCTTCTATAAACTGAAGAATCCATCCTTGACAGTTCCCATATAACGTTTTAAAAACAATCCTGAACGTGTGAACTGGACCCAGGATCTTCGGTGTTTTGTGCAGCGACTCCGTCCTAATCCACGATCTCGAATACTTTTTCATCATTCTATACGGGTCAAGAATACTAATGCCATACGGGAAGATGAATGGGTGAGAATTCATTATAGTCATTTTTACATATAATTCTATGCACGCATGGCCGCCGATAAGTAATTTACTCTGATGCTTTCACTTCTCACTTAACATGTGTCCTTACTAAACCATGTATTCTATAAGGACTTTCTAGGTATATCAGGAATATTCTAGCATAAAGATTCTCAACTATTTTGCTGTTCATATTTCAATCAAAGAATATTGAAAAAAAAAATATCTCAGTGGAACTGTTTTCAAAGAAAATTTAAACGTATCTATTACTAAGTCTGTATCAAAACTTTAGATGCACTAGTAGCTTGTGTTACATTTTCTTTCCCCTAATTCTGATTGAATTCCATTGATAAGGCTTTAGTATCCTTGTTAGTCAGTTTGTCTTATTGTCACGGTTCATTTTGTCTTTTAATCACTGTAGTTCAGTGTAGATAAACAAAGGCTTTTTCAAAGAAATAACGAACCAATTAATGCTAGATTGTCATAAAGCGTGGGAGATGGTCTCAGCAGTGATCATCCTTATCTCTGCAGGTAAAAACAGAACCTTTGATCTCGCGCCCAGGTCCTTAGCATCTAGATCACTAAGTTGACATCTAAAGGTGTTAAAAACTAATTTCAAACAATCCGCAATATTGTGCGACCATCAGTCATCGTCTTAAAAGGGCAACTGCCTCCAAACCAGTATGTTTGGAATCCACTGCCAAGTATTCAATGTTGATCTAGTATTGATCGGTCCTAATTTCAAACAACTCTATGCCAACAAAAGCTTTCTCACAATGGATTTGCTACTGGTGTTTTCAATATCAACGAGGACGTGAATAAGTAGGTTGTAGTAGGTCACATCAAAGTTCATTCGGACTCGAGATTATAAACTCAGCTATACCGTAGTTACTCACTTACAACTGTTACTCTCAATGGAACAGACCAACGATCAACATTCTCCAACCTATTCTGTCCTGAGCTCTCCTTTCCAGTTCTCTGCAACTGCTATTCATTCTTTCAATGTCTGTCTCCAATTCTCGGTATAATGTTTTCGTCGGTCTACCTCGCTCCCTTTGACCCTGAGGTTTCCAAGTTAGGTCTTGCATCGGTGATGCAGTATGGTGACTTCCGCATTATGTGTCCTATCTACCTCCAGCGCGTTTTCCTAATTCCTTCCTCTCCTTGAATCTGGTTTGTTCTCTGTCATAGTGTGGTGCGCGCTACTTATAAGTAGTGTATGACGCGAGTGAACACGTAATGTCTGGCAGCAGAAGATGAGGGAAGATCAAGAAAGGAAGAGTGGGAACACAATGGAATTTGTATGAAACGCATGAATAGTGAAATGTCAGACAATGGATTGAAGATTTGCAAATTAACCGTTTACGATATGGTTTTCCTATTTTAATGAGTAACTGTAGTTCGTGGTAAATATAATTCGGTTGCCTTCACCTGTGTTCTCCTTCACTACAACAGTAGGTTGTTGCTGATGGTATCTGATCAACGGATGAAGAGTATCTTGCGTAGACAATTGCTAGTAAACAACTGTACCTTGTGGATGATGGCCTTCGTGGTTCTGCAAGTTTCCGCCCCATACAGTAGAACTGTCCTGACATCGGTATTGAAAATCGTGACTTTGGTGTTGGTTGATAGTTGTTTTGAGTTACGGATGTTCTTCAACTGTAGAAATGCTGCCCATACTTTGCCAATCCATGTCTTTACATCTGCATCAGGTCTACCTTGATGCTAGCCACCAGGTGTGTAGAGGTTGCCGCATCTTTCAAAGCTTCTTTGTCAGTTGTGGTTTGGTTGGTGCAGGCTGTGTTGTGTCGGAGGATCTTGCTCTTTCCCTTATGCATGTTGAGACCCACTGCTGCTGTTACACTGTCTGTCTTCATTTGCACTTGTTGCTGTGTGTGGGATAAAAGGGATAGGTGATTTGTGAAGTCCAGATCGTCCAGCTGCATCCGAGCTGTCCACTATATTTCGTGCTTCCCCTGAGATGTTGACGTCTTCATAATCCAGTCAACTACCAGGATAAGCAGAAAGGATGGATGGGAATAAGCGATCTTGTCTGACACTGGTCTTCAATTGAAATGAGTTCGCAAGCCGCCCTTCTTGCACTGCTTTGCAATTCGATCCATCACATAAATTCCATATGATGTTGGCTATCATTTCAGGTACGCCGTAGTGTCGAAGAAGCCTCCGTAGTGTCATCCTATCTATGCTGCCGAATGCTTTCTTGTAGTCTATGAACTTGATGTACAGTGGTGAATTCTATTCAATTGATTATCCCACAATGATCCGTACGTAGTGTTGCGTGTGATTTGGTTGGTCCACAATCGATCTTGACGAAATTCGGCGTGTTGATTTGGAAGTTGGGCGTCTACTGAAATTCTGATTCGGTTAAGCGACACTCTACTGAAGAATTTTGCTGGTATTGAGGGTAGAGTGATGCCTCTGTAGTTCGCACATTGCCGAGACCTCCTTTCTTTTGAATGTTGATGAGGTGTCCTTCTTCCGAGTATGTTAGTACTTGGTCTTCCTCCGACACTTTTCTGAAGAGAGCGTGCGGTATTTTTTCAGTTACTGCTATGTCTGTTTCCTATGCCTCAGTTGGTATGTCTTCTGGTCCTGCTGCTTCACTGCTCTTGATTTGCGTGACGGTCATGCTGACTTCTTGAATCGATGGTAGGTTGAAATTAATCGGGATGTCCGTGAGTGGTGCTTCGATGTTGGGCGGATTCGAGGGACTGGTCTATTTAAGTGTTCTTTTTCTTTTACTCAAAATGAAGGTTAATGCAGAGTAATTTGATAATATATGAGAGATAGTAATTAAAATCAGTGAGATGGGGTTGATTTATTTGGTCTATTGTCGAGTGAGATAAAAGATTTCAATTCATCGCACGGTCTGAAAAAGTCCTATACACGTAAGCGAGATTCTATAATATGTATGACAAATGTTTAATTACAGATCACTATGTGCATAACTTTTTTTAAGAAGGAGAAATGTGATTAGAAAGAAAATTTAGTGAAACAAATGACGAATCCATTTCACTATAATTATCTGAATAACTCGTAGTTAAATATTTTTTACTGATTTACAGAAATATTAGGTAAAAAATCTACTGTAGGGTTTTTATATGATTTGTTTACTATTTCCATTCATATTATGTTTATTTTTGAGGAAGTTTATTAGTAATTTGTCTACAATAAATAAAAGCTCAATCGTAAGATCTAATCATATATATATATATATATATATATATATATATATATATATATATATATAGTCAACGCCCTAAAGTAATTCGTTTTTTACCATTTCGTACTGCTAAGTTCTGTTGTAGTTCAGTGTCGAAATCACATGCTCTGGAAATGCAGTTTTAACAAATTCTTGAGATACGAGTCATCATCGTAAACCTCATGTTGAAGTAAATCAGTTAATTACTACTTGATAATAATAATAATAATAATATCTTTTGGATAAAGTATCTGCAAAAGAAGGTAAGAAGCAATACTTTGATTATTGATAAAATTAGACTAAAATGTTGACACATCCA